GATGCTGTATTGGTAAAAAATCTCAATCCCAGGAAAGTGGGGGAAGCAGCCTTTGGCACTCCCACTAGAGTGGTAGCTGTCACATGCACTGCCATCCTCACCGACTGTTTTTTTTAGACTCTTTGGTCATTCTAGAACTTGCTCACATTGTAATCCTGATAAAGTAACCCAGCCTTTGCTTAAGAAAATAAGTAATTCAGCAAACATGTTTATTATACTCTTAGTAGGGGCCTTATGCTCCTGTGAATGTAGCATAAGCAGCAGTGTGGTGGAAATTTGGCCTGTGCCTTTTCTTTAGGAATCGCTTGCAATTTGTCTGACTTTCATAACGCATTGTGTTGGGTCTGCCATCATATTGGTACTCAGTGGTTTCAGTACTCAGTGTCATGGTCTCCCTGGGGGAAATTGCACCCCTTCCCCTGATGTGCTATTGTACAATTCTCAGGTATTCATTGTCCCAGAAAGGCTGAGCGACACATGTCTCTGTTCTAACGGTAGTAACCAGTTATCTCTCTGCAAATCTGAGTGCGAAACTCGTTTAGACGTGATAGCCCCGGAAGAGGGCTCGGACCCATCCTGCTTTATTAATGATAAGGGTTTTCCTCCTTCTACTCGTGGTCTTCTCACACAATTTAATAAAGGTCCCTTAGGTTTTATGACCTCAACCAATACCATCTTGTGGGTATGCGGCAATAAGGCCTATACTAACATACACGCAGCCCATGTTTGTCTCAGCACCAAGCGCAGCGTCCCCCGGCACTTTGAGGGATATACCCTAACTGAACCCTGGACTACTCCAGGATCTAATATTGACTGGTCACTATTCCTCAGCGGAGGAACCACAGTAGCCTTGAATAAAATAAACAGCCTAACTTATATGCTGTTATCTCTAGCCAATGACACTGAACAGGCTCTGAAACTAATCAATGATGAACTGAAGGCTATTAGAGAAGTTGTTGTTTAGAATAGGCTTGCATTAGATCTCCTGACTGCAGAGCATGGAAGTGTCTGTAAAATGCTTAACACCTCATGTTGTTTCTTTATTCCTAACTCCCACAATGTCACCGATATCATTCACCGTATGAAAGAAGCTATAGTCACTCCGCTGCCGGCTGATGACTCATGGATCGCATGGTTCTCCTCTCTTTGGGGCTGTTGGATTTTGCATTCCGTTATACCAATTGTTGTGATAGTCATTTTGACCTTTTTGTTGTCACTGTTTATCTTTCAGTGTATTTCTGCTTGTGTTAGGCGATCTGTAGGTACCCTAGTTAACAACACTTACGTAGCAGTTCCACTCGATGCGATTAAATTGGTCTTGCTTATTGCTGGGCATGACTACCCTCTGACCTCTAGCATACGCTGCCTTAAAATGGTGACTGTCGTTTGAGGTTGGGGCTGTGGGATGGCCCAGTGAGCAGTGAGACTGTCTTTGATGCTCCTTAAGTCCCACCAGAGCAATTGCTGTCAAAAGTTGTTTGTAGGGTCAGGTCAGGTGTTCAGACATGTGTTG